TGTAACTGGTATACATATATATTTTCATATTTGATGAGCGAGATTGAGAGAGAGAGAGGAGAGAGGCGAGCGAGATTGGGAGAAGGAGAAGAGAGGCGAGTGAGAAAAGGCAAAGAGCAAAGAGAGGTGAATTATATATGTAATTGTTATACATATGTAATTGTATATCTGGTGAGCGAGATTGGGGGAGGGAGGAGAGAGGCGAGCGAGAGGGCAGAGAGTGGAGACAGGGTAATTGTATTTGTATATAAGTCATATAATTGTATATATATGTATGTATAAAATATTTGTAAACGTATAAACAACGAAATTACAGTTAAAAGTAAATTGTGAACTATAATTAATTCAAACTATAGTTATGTTAGTTAATTAACTAGTATATGTTTGCTTATTCACATAATTTCCCAATAAAATTTTGATAATTAATGTAGAAGAAAACTTAAAATTTTCAATATAACTAACGTCATCACATCAAATATTAATTTTAATACCATCAACATTTGTGAATAAATGAATAGTTATGAAAATTAGCAAATAGATTTTGCTACTTAATTTTTTAGTGTCTCTCTCTTTTCTTGTTATTTAAATTTTCATATTTTGAAACAATAATATACTAAAAATTACGCAAATTATAAATGAGAACTAGTAAAATTATCCTCGCCTCGCACGAAAATTTAATATCACAGAATATATAAAATATACTTAAAATCTATTAGTGATTTAAACTAAAACACTATATTATCTTACATACAAGATTACATAGTAACGAACATTAATAATGTAAAGAAAAATGACAATTATAACATATGATCATTTATCCTTCAATCAATCACCTTTAATTTGATTTTATAGTTTATCCTTTTGCTTCCAAGAAGTGTTACTATTAGATATTTTTGGAGAATCAAATGAACATCAACTTGAGATATTAATTTTTCTAATAAATAAATAATCATTGGCGAAAGGATAAATAAATTTTAAAAGGCTGAAAAAAGTGAACAAATATTATGATTCTAACGTGTAGAAAGTTTACTCCTACCTTTTGCTTTATCTCATTTAAGTATCATAAGTAATAATTAAAATGAAAAATTAAAGGGAGAATGTATCATATTGGACAACAGTTCAATTTATTATATATACTTGAAAAGTAAAAATATTACACACAACTATTTAGTTAGTTTTTTTTTTTATTATTTATATAAATCAACATACCAAAGTGATGGAGTTCAATTTGAAACTACACTTCTATTCCAATCGCAATGTCGAGAAACACATTTATTACTTAAAGAAAAGTTTTTACAACTTGGAGTAAACTTGAGAATCTATCCATACTTCATATTGAATATGAGCAATTAATGTATTGTGTAGTTATCTATGTCTTTGGGATTAAAAGAGGATCCAGTCTGGTCATATTCCTCTATATGGTATCCGACACATCCTTGAACCCTTATCAAAAATTTATTAGTTCTTGTTCACTTCGCACATCAAGGTGTGATAAAGTTTTTAAGATCTTTATGTCCTTACAATGACATACCAAATTTTAATTTTGTCTTCAGGAGATGGTAGTATAGATCTTTAAGGAGTTTTTTCTTGTACCTTCAACAGTTTCAGTAGAGGAAGCTTGCGTGAAACTCAATTAATATGTGTTTTTTAATATATACTAGCAAATACTTATAACACTAACTTTCCAGAAATACAAACAACAAAGTTTAAAATATTTACTAAAAACAACAATTAATATCATAAGCATAAATTAATGACTGTAAAATAACATACCAAGAGGATTTGTAACAATAGAATGAAACAGAAAGGAAAAAATCAAGCCCACTGAATGCACAGTGTCCCCTTAAGGAAATTATTTCCCTCTGGTACCTGAGGTTTTTTTTTTTATGACAAGGAAAATCCACAGCCGCTACCCTTTGGGTGCGCACCGGGTAAAACCCTTGCTCCTATGCAATAGCTCGCATACCACATATGAGAGGTAACCCGCACTAGGTAAGCCTGGTGTGACGAGCTCGACTAGAAGACAAACTCCCTGCTTTCGCTGGCAAGAGATTTCGAACTTGAGACCTCCAACATGAAAGTCCCAATCCCAAAACCACAGGGCCACCCGAGGTTTAAAGGAATAGATTTTCTTAGGATGGAACGATTCTATTCACCAGTGTATTGATACAAAAACAATTGTGTCAGTAAGCCACTCAACATGAGCAAAGTATACGAATATTTAATTGTGCAGAAGAAAAGAAGTAGTACAATTTTTTTGTTGTTTTAAAATGAGAGGAAACCCTATTTATAGATAACAAATGGTAGTGTGAACAAATTCTTAACATGCCTTATCAGAAAGGTCACAACTCTTTGAAAAAGTTACAACCCTTCGAAAAGGTCACAACCTTTCATAAAATTCACAACTTTTCAAAAAAATTGTAACTCTTCATAAAAGTCATAACTCTTCATAAAAGTCACAACTTTTCATAAAGTCACAATTTTTTATAAAAGTCACAACTCTTCATAAAAGTCACAATTTTTCATGAAGTGGAAGACTAATTTTGGAAATAAATAAATTAAAAGGGAATCCTGATTTCTGGTGACACCACGTAGGCAGACCTAGGGTTCTCAATAAATATATATATATATATATATGATGTTTCAACCAAAAAAAAGAGAAAAACAGATAGCTTGATGTAAAATTCAAGAGAAAATTCATTGAGCCACGTACCATCATCAAAGAACCTTTTACAATATGCATTAAGCATGTTTTGTCTTGAAAACTGAAATGAAGAAATTTGATACTAATATCATTATTAATATGTCCTAATGAGTACATATTAAGGGCTTGTTTGGAAAATTACCTTCGTTTGGTGTAATTGAATGTAGTTACACTGTCTGATGTGTTTGATTGACTATGTAATTATTTGGTCAATCGATAATTGGGTGATTGGAACAAAGTAATTACATGATATAATTACAAGACAATTACTTTTTTTTTTATTTCTATTTTTTCGTTTTAATTTTTTTTTTTATTATTATTTTAATTTTTTAATTATTCTAAAATTTATATTTATATTTTTTATTATTTATATTTCATTTCATTCTCATTCTCAACCTTTACTTGATATGTTTTCATGTAATTTTTCATATTGTCTATTTTTTTATGCCATATATTTTTTTCACTAGCATCATTTTGTTAGTATTCTAATTTTTAAATTAAAGTATCATTCATTGTTGAGTAAGGTCATAGAATTACGTTTTACTTTTTTTTTTTCTTGAAAAAAGAATCATATTTATGTATGTTATATGTTGAAATTTGACATAAGAGTATTATGTTGAATTTTTTGTTTCAAACTTAGAACTTATGTTATATTTCCAATTTCATTTGTTTTAGTAGTATTGACTTGAGATTTCACATTGTAAGTCATTTATTTTTTAGTTAGACTTGATACATTATTTTTTTGTCAAATATTTTAATAATATATGACATTTTATTTGTAATATTAATATTTTTGTCAAACATGCATTTCATGATGTTTATAGAGTGCTTGTACTTTTAGTTTTTTTTATTAATTCAATTGAAATATACTAATTTGAAAAATGTAATATTAGTTAAGAATATATGCTTATTAATTTATATTTTTTTCAAAAGACAATGTATATCTTAAATATTTAATTTAGTAGAGTATCATTTATAAAGTTCTTTATTTGTCTAACATAATTTTTAAATAATTACCTTTCATTTTCAAAATTTAATATAATCTTATGATGATATTTGTGTAACCAACCAGTACATTTGAAATTATACTATAACAAACAAACAAGTTAGTAGGATATACTAGGTTGCATAATATGAATTTGTTGGGTATAACACACCATTTAGAAAATCAAAAATATGAATTAAAAATTATTATATTTTGTTACCCCTTTGATTATCATCATATCATATATCATATATCATATATATATATAAAAGAGAACCTTAGGCCCGCTTACGTGACACCACCACAAATCAGGATTCCCTTTTAATTTATTTATTTCCCAAACTAGCCTTCCATTTCATTAAAAGTTGTGACTTTTATGAAAAGTTGTAAGTTTTATGAAAAGTTGCAACTTTTATGGAAAAAATGCGACTTTTATGAAAAATTGTGACTTTTATGAAAGATTGTGACCTTTCCGAAGGGTTGCAACTTTTCCAAGTAGTTGTGACCTTTCCGATAAAGCACAACAAACATTTGTTCGCACTACCCTTTCTTGTTTATAAATAGAGAGATTTCCTCTCATTTTAAAACAACGAAAATTTTGAAATTCTTATTCTTCTTCTTCTGCATAATTAAATATTCATGTACTTTGCTCCTGTTGAGTTGCTCACTGACACCATTGCTTATGTTATAGATCTTGATATTTTTTTTAAAGTCATAAATTTATACTTATGTTATTAAGGATAAATGATAAGATGTTATAATTTTCATTTTCCTTTATATTATTAATGTTCGTTACTATGTAATCTTGTATGTAAAATAATATAGTGTTTTAGTTTTAATGACGGATATGTTTTAAGTATTATTTTATAAATTCTGTGTAAATTTCTTTCGCGCAGGTAATTTTACTAGTTCTTATAGATAATATAAAATAATTAAAAATATTTTCCTGAATTTTGCATAATATCCTATTTAATACCTACCGATGAAATACTCCCTCCGTCCCTATTTACTTGTCCATATTTCCTTTTTTAGTTGTCCCTATTTAGTTGTCTATTTTGACAAATCAAAAAAGGACAACAAATTTTTTCCTATTATACCCTTATTTACACTTCTTGAAAATTGTAAAAGTGTATGTTGTTTCCCTCCAATTTATTTCACTTGATTCAAATAAGTGGTGGTAATTTTGAAGGAAAAGTTGTCATAAGGATAAAATTGTAACTTCACTGTGCTAATCATTGTTGCCTTAATCTGTGTGCCATTTCTAAAGTGAACAACTAAAAAGGGACGGAGGGAGTAAGTAACAAGGGCACATTGGGTCTAGTAAATTTGAAAAAACACAAGCAAGAACCACCAAAAGTTCAAACTTGAAAAATTAAAATTAGAACTATCCTCCATCGGAATCGGCGCGCTCGCTCGCTACATGTCCGCCGCAGCCGCAATGGCAGGGTTATCAAAGACGCCGGGAGCTTTCACCATTACACCACACAAGCTTTCTATTTGCATTCTCATCCAAGTCTATGCTCCGCCTTCCCAAAGCTCAGTTCCTTTCCCTTTCTCTTCCGTTGCTCAACACAATCTTCTGGGCTCCTTCTTATTATCTCTCACTAAGGTAGCAAACATTTCTTAGCTTTCAAATTCTATATAGAAATGTGGTTCGCTTTTGTACTCTTCCAGTGATTACTAAATAGTCTCATTAGACATTATTCAGTTTCAATTTTCTGCTGGAAGTGTTTTTTTTTTGTGTGTAGAACACTAAACACTGTTTCTGACTTTGTAACTGATTCAGTGAAAGTTTGATGCTGGTCAAATATTGTAAAAAGAGTTTTCGGACCAAATAAAATTAATGAGCGAAATGAGGGTATTGATTGAAATCGTGATTGTTCACAGTGGAATTGTTTTGGTACACAAGTACAGTATAGTGATTTAATCAAATTAGATGATATATCTTGTTTATTTGATTAGTTAATTGTTGAACAAGAGTTTAAAAGTAATGCAGTACCTTTATGAAAAAGTGTTCTTTGTTAATGATAATTAAACACTGATTATGGTTAGTGAAACCAATTTAGTTGGAACTAGCAATATAATCAGATAAAGAACCAAAAGAAGCAGCTCCTCAAGGTTGGCGCTATATGTTGGACTTGTTCTATCTTTGACATCAGAAGATTCAGAAGTCTACTGGATACTGTATTAGAAGTGGATTTATGTTGATAGGGTTAAAATTGCTGACTTGAGCTTACTTTTCTTCATGTCTAGAGAAAAGGTACCTGAAACTTTTACTATTGTGTCTGATATGCATTATGCTGATTTGAATTATATTAGTCATTTTTTCTTGGTTTGGAGAATGTGTTTTAGGACTATATATCAATGCTTTTGTCGGTAAAATGATTAGGGTCTAAATCTCCCAGTATAGTGTAGAGTGTGCTGTTTGAATAAAGCTAATTTGTCTTTTTTTCTTGGAACAGTCGTCTGAGGATATTTTTGAGCCAAAGCTGGATGAACTTGTCGCACAGCTTAGGGAAATTGGAGGTGTATTGAATCATTGGTTGAGTGACCATTTAGCTCGCAAATTATCATCATTAGCCTCACCAGATGATTTGTTCAACTTTTTTAATGACTTGCGAGGTAATGAAATCATTGTTGTTCTACGTTTGTAATTTGCTTAACTTTTTATTTACAAAGTTTCATGTTATTATTTTGAATAGGCATACTTGGGGGTTCTGATTCAAATGTCATGGATGACGATCAAATCATTTTGGATCCTAGCAGCAATCTTGGAGTCTTTGTTCGTCGTTGCTTACTTGCGTTTAATCTATTATCATTTGAGGTACTATTAAACTATTCATTATCTTGTCAGAAAGACTTCGCTCTGTCAAGACAAGGGCACCAATGAAGCATAAAGTTCAATGCCCGAACCTTAAGTGTTATTTTTGTGCACTCATTGCAACTGTTGAACAGTTTGATTTTTGGTTCTACTTTTCCAATTCGACTTGTTATATGTTACTTATTTTTGCTTGGATCAAGCACATAGTAGTTCCGCTCATTTAAAAGTTAATAAACATGTATCTGGATTGTTTTTCTCTGAGTAGGCTGTGTGTCATCTTTTGACAAATGTAGCAACATATTGCAAAGAATCTCTCTCAACTTATGAGTTATCACATTTCAACGAATCTGATAGCGATACTGAAGCACCAATGCACTATGAGAACATGGATTTGGAGAATCTTGTTGTCGAGAATGTCAAGAAAGAAATTGAATCAAGAAATGTGGTTGATGCAAGACTTTCTTTCCACAATCATGCATCTAAAGCTCTAGTTAGAGCAATTGAAGGTATTTTTCTTTGGTAGATTTTCTTAAAAGTAAAACCATATTCATATGCATTGGGAAAGATTGATTCCTGTATGTTGCAAAGTTTGCGTCCAATTGTTCAGTTGAGAATTCCACTACTATCACTCCATGAGAAATGACTCTGTGTTCCATAAGGAAATAAAGAAAGAGTAGAGCTATGCTCCTTCCAAAAAATATTTTGTTGCTATTTGTGTCAAGGATAAGCATTCCTTCTACTTATTCCAACAAGAATAAGGTTTTAGTACATCATATAGGTAGTCAAAATATTTAAAACACAATTCAGATTACTGTGTGAAGTGTGAACAACGAACAAAACCAGGATTCTAGTTCGGAATTCAGATGATATTTTTTGATAAATATTGTTACAAATGATATAGTCATGTTGAATTTAGTTGATATTCTATTAACTCTAGATCCAGTTGAACATGGAGCTTCTTCATGTCTTGTAGTTTTGCTCCCTTTGCTGTGTAGATGAGTAACTTATTTGAAAACTTGGTCAATCGAAGGATATAAATCTATGGGAATTATCCACTTATGCTGGACAAATTATTATGGGAATTCCCAAAAATAACATGAACAAAAGGTGCTGCAGTTATTATAGACCCTTGCTGATAACTGTATCAGTCTTGTTTACCTGCCTAAGATATGATTACTGTGTAGACAAACAACTTGTTTTGAAGCCTATAAAGTAGAAGTATAAAGGATCTACGGGAATTTCCCTCTCATGCAGTACAAAATATTAAGGGAATTCCAAAATTAAAATCAACAGAAGCTGTAGAAGCTATTACTCCTTTTTGATTGCTGTAATATTCTTATTTACCTGCCTAAGGTAAGATGTGTTGATATGTGCTAGATAATTTGAGTATAATGTTCAGCTTTAAGCTGTCTTTGGTTCTTGCTTACTAAAGTGCTTTTAGAAATGAATAAGCCTAGACAAATGATATGTATGCTTTTTAAGTGCCTAATGTTGGTTAGTCATGGCTTGCAGATCGTGATTTTTCTCCTGGGCCACAAGTTAGAAAAATCAGTAAGCCTAGAGAAGTTGGCGCATGTGCATCTTCTTCTCGTGATTTATCTGATCCTGATGATTCTCCATCTGGGGCTTTCTTACGTACAAACTGGCAAATACAAGGTTATCTATTGGAGCAAGCTGATACGATTGAAAGGTCATTGAAGTTTTATAGATACTACTATTCAGCACATCATGTTTGTCCAAAGACACTTGTGAATCACTGAACTGAATAATATATTCTCTTTCAGGCAGGGAAGCTCCTTCCCTTTGAATGCTTTTGAGTCTGTATTGAAGGACCTTCTTAAATTAGCTCCTGAACTACATCGTGTAAGATTTTACGGAGTGAGGTGTTTTGGGGATTTGAGTTTATTTTGTGTTATCTGTCTCTAAAGTAACTTTTTGTGCACTGAAGGTTCATTTCTTGCGTTACTTGAATAGCCTTTATCATCAGGACTATCATACTGCTCTAGAAAATATTCACCGATATTTTGATTACAGGTATACTTATATGATCTATTATGTTGTCTGTTACATTTCAAACTTCCTTCATGTTTGCATTAATATGTACTCATATAATCTTTGTATGCTGCTCAATGTAGTATAATAGTTGTAGTTACCTCGCGCATAACTCAAAACGCCAATAATCAACTAGAATATTGGACATTTGGTCAGTGTTATCAAAAGCAAAAGCTCTAATGTCCATTGGGGATTTAAGCGCAAATTAAGTGTCGGTTTTAATGAAAAAAGACACAAAGGGAGATAAAAATACAAATATATATATATTTAGTCCAAGAACTAATAATTATAAGCTTGAATGACAAATGTATGAACTAGGAAATTGGAAAAAAAGAACAAAGATAAAGTGAAATATTAATTGTATAGTGTTGCCATTTCAGAAGAAGCTCATTGGAAGGAAGAATATATCTTAGAACCTTGATGACGATTTTAAAACACACATTAAGCGAGGCAAAGCGCTCAACACATTTTGAGCATCGCTTTAGCCTTTAGGGCTTAAGTGCACCTTTGATAACACTGTATTTGGTTTTGAAAAAAATATGTTGTCTAAGCATTCTAGGCTACCATAATGTGTCCTTGGGCTTAGTGGTGGACCCAAAAATCCTAACAAGAGGACTTTTATAAAAATATAAAAATGCCACATTTAGGATTCAAACTTGTGACCTTAAGCAATTTTTGAATCCATGTTACCACTACATTTAAAACTTTTCCTTTATATCAAGGAGGTTAAAAAATTTATGTGAAAAAAATATTTTTATCCTAATAGCACAATAAAATTTTCCAATGAAGTGGATTCAATTGAACCTCCTTCAGTGAAAAATCAGGTTAGCCACCGCTTGAGCTTACACTTGCAATTCTATAGGCATCCTCAATGATTAGACTATGGTGAAGCAAACTAATTTCTACTTAAAGAATCTTATTGCCTATGATGATCTTATCAGGCTTATGAACATAGACTAATTAGATTTTGAGAGGGCGTTAATAATTCAGTTATATCTTCAAGTTAAATGGTCGATTCGTAGGTTCAATTAGATGTTTGGTTCCTAGGTGCAATAACTTTTTTGTGAAAGCAATTACTAGAAGGGATAGCTACAAATATATACCATTCGACCATCTAGTTTACCAAACATGCCCGAAGTATACACTACAATACACCTAGTTATATATGGTGTCTATATGTTATTTATATGTTTGTCTATTATATGTATAGGTATGTATATTATACGTATAAGTATGTATAGCTATGTTTTTTTTTGAAACTGAATATGTATAGATATGTATATTATATGTATTAGTATATTATATGCATATTAGTATAAAGTACACTACTTATACACCGTGTACATATTTTATAAACTAGATGGCCCAAAGGTATTGAGCTGTAATTTTTTTCTACTAGAATAAGGGGTGGAAAATCCGTTAGAATTTATATTCTAGATGGTATATTGACAAACAAAAATGATAAGGCATAGTGCAACAATGCATAAAATTCTAAAGGTTTTTTTATAGGTTTTGTTGCGTCTTTCATTTTATTGCAAAATAAGAATATGACCCTTAGCTTATTGAGTTTATAAAGAAATAGACCTTAGACCTAACTCAACTGCAAAAGCTACCTCAAGAGGTAGGATTGCCCAAGACCATATAAGGAGATAGATTTTGCCTTCTACCTATCGATGTGGGACTTAACATTCCTCTCACACCCAGGACTGGACATTTGAAGCGTAAACAATACATGATGGAGGTAATTACGCCTAATGTCCCCCAAAGTGTCCGGTGTTGAATTTTTGTCCCCGCTTAATAAAATATTTTAAAAATAACCTTTACTTGAAAAAATTCGTCGGGAAGTATTTATGTAGGCATAGCCCCCAAGTCCTAGCTCGAGTGGCAAAAGGTGGAGGATTTGGGGCTTAGGTCGCAGGTTCAAGCCCCACACCATGCAAAGCGCCCAGTATTTAAGTGGAGAAAGGTAGAGGGGCGGACTCATTATCCATCGAGTTTAGAAGACTGTGGTTGGTCCAAAGGGCGGGTCACAGGCGGATTTCTCGGTTATTAAAAAAAGTATTTATGTAGGCACAAGTTCTAATGTTTGCCTATAAGACAAAACTTGTGGTCAATTGAATAGGTTTACTAGCTTGAAATATCCTTAATGTTTGCCTTATGGGCAAAAGTTAGAACTTATGCGTGACGGGAAAACTTTATACCAAAGTTCTAGCTTTTGCCTATAAGGTAGAACTTCTAGTCTATTGAGCAGGTTCATTGTGTCAGAATATCTTGAACGTCTGCTTTATGACAAGAGTTAGAATTTTTTGAAGTGGAAGCTATTTTTTTTAAAAATTGTTAAGCAGGGCCAAAAAGTCAATACCACTTATGGAGGCCATTTTCGTTAGACATTCCTTACAGGGACAAAGTATCAAGACCAGCCCCATCTGAGGGCCATTTCTGTACTTGACACCGAACGGGTCCAACACATCGGGTGAACCAAGACCAGAACTCTGATACCATGATAAAAAATAAACCCGGGGTCTAATTCAATCCCCCCCCCCCAAAAAAAAAAAAAAAAGTAAGTAAATATTCTATAATCAAATAAAAATGTTCTATGATATCTGTTATACAAGTTGAATGAATCTAGACTTGATATTCTGCCAGACCCCCTAAAACTCATAGTGGCAAGACTAACTTAAGTTTACTTATTTGAAGTCAATAGAAATTAACTGAGATATCGTTAGAATAGTGCACAATCACAAAAAAGAAGTGCTAGAATTTCTTCTCTAGAGAGTCGTTGGTAAGTGCATGATAAAAGGAACTGCTTGCAAGATTATGCAAACAAGGATTTTGAGAGTAAGCCTTGAATCCCCCATCATAAAGAGGTGTCTATTCTCAATCACCAAACAGAGATATGGTGCTGTAAATTTTCAATACACCATCAGCATAACTTGAATCACAAAACAATGATAACACTTCATGGTTTAAAGGAGGGCACTAATCGCGTAGTAAACAGAATTGTCAGTTGCCAGGATGATTCATTGCACCAGAATGGTCGCCCTGAATGATTCTAGAGAGAGGAGTGGCACCTCAATTGTTGTCGGAGAGAGGACCAACGCTTGAATGAATGAATGGTCATTTGTAGAGTAGTGACACCGATTGTTGAAGAGCGAAGCAGTGCCGAACACTAAAATGAAGAAAAAAGATGGCCGGGCAGGCAATACACTTTGAGTCTTTACCAAGACCATAGATGCTTTAATTCTGTACTAAAAGAAGAAAAACTTCTAATTAACTTGACTTTTAACATATTTATTAGAGGCGCTCCTTATGTAGGAGTCGTAGGCTACACACTATATATTAGGTAATCAGTCTCCATGCTAACAAGGTAAATTAATATTCCTCAATTGAACATAGTATATCCTATAGTATCCAATAGACTATTCTGTAAGATTATTTTTATTCCAGTACAATAAATTTAGACACGTATTTACGTGATGATTTTTTTGATGACCAAGAAATTTGTCAGGAGCTAACCCTTTGGGCCAACCTTAGCTTTGGAAAATGTATTTACGTGATATTCTAACACCTTGCAAATAGATCTGAGAAGTATTTTTACCAAAGTGCAGGGACAGAAGGATGTGATTTCGCATCCTCTTCTTCAACAGGCTGCAATAGCTTTGGTAGATATGAAATTGCGTTATTATGCTTGGGGATGATGCATTTTCATTTTGGGCACCCAAAGCAAGCTTTGGAGGTAGGCATATTCAATGTCATTTCCTACCTTCATTGTCCATGTTATGCTACTTTATTGAGTTTGATGCACGTCATCCCTCCATTATTGGTGTAATGAAGGTGAGGGTGGGCATAGGAGTGGTCTTAGGAACTTTGGTGTTGCTACTTCGGCATGACAATTATTTGCTTTATAATTTTCAGGTGTTGACAGAAGCAGTCCGTGTGTCTCAGCAGGTAGCTGTTTTGTTCCTTCCCTTTCTTTCGACGAGGGCTTCCTTTATCTGTTACATTATTTTATCTTTCATTCTTTTATGCTCTAAAGTGGCATAACATATTCTTTGTAACACTTGCATCAATACAAATGTGTCATATAAGTATTTTTTAGATGAAAAGATCACGGGATCTTAATGGCAATCAACATAAGCATCTGCAATGATACAACTAACAATAACAACTACACCTCCATCCCAAACAAATTGGAGTCGGCTATATGAATCCTCATTGACTATGTTCAACTCATGTCGTCTTCATACCAGAAAAAATAAGTTAATGATATATAACTAGGTTATTAATAACCAAAAAGAAGCTCTCTGCACCCTTCGGGGTGGGCTAGTGGTTTGGGTTTGAGACTTCCATGTTGGAGGTTTCAAGTTCGAAACCCCTTGCCAGCGAAAGGAAGGGGTTTGCCTTCTGGGTCGAGCTTGTCGCACCGGGCTTGCCTAGTGCGGGTTACCTCTCCTATGTGGTTTGCGAGCTATTGCATAGGAGCAGGGGTTTTACCCTGTGCGCACCCAAAGGGTAGCGGCTGCGGGTTTCCCTTGTCATAAAAAAAAGAAAAAGAAGCTCTCTGCAATGATACTAATTTGCTCTATTAATAACTTGTACCGCCATTTTGCGATTGATAGACTAGTACTTAGCAAGAAAAAAATGTCAGTTTGGTTGGTTGACCTCCTCTTCTGCCTTGCTATGTTTGCCTGTCATTTTAGGAGAGAAATAAAGTCAGTTATTGGTGCTTTGTAAATGGAAGAAACTCTTAGGGGATGGACCCGTATTAACTTTACCTTTTCTCAGCCACTCAATTATCATCGAAACCTCAAGAATAATACTTCTTTCTCATTTTGTTAAATGTAGTATGAATGACCATGGAGTTCTAAGAATATCATTTGACTTATTATTATATTAATAGGAGTAGAAGATATTATTATTATTATTAGTTGATTATTATTATTTTTAGTTGATAAGTTAGTGTGATGGGACAAATTGTCATTGTCTGAATTTGAATTTCTTAAATGATTAGAATTATAAATGAACTGAGAGTATTTGGAATATTAATATTTGTATAATTTTATCAAGCATTTCGGGCGTTGCAAAAACAGATGCATATCATACAAATTAGGATGGATTGAGTACTTTTGGGCAGTTATTCTTTGGGCTGGTTCATACCCTTGTTCTGTGCGCATAACTTTCCATGCATTTGTTTTCTACAATAGGATATTTCTTGACTATCTTGTAATTGGTTCTTTTTGCATATCGCTTATATGTGAACCTTTTTGCTTCTTACATGTATCTATTGCTACTTTAGCTGTGGCTGCTCATTGATAGCATCTTCTTTTCCTTCTTTCTAGTACTTACAACTTAGTCTGTTGGACAAAGAGTTCTTCTTTGATGCCATATTTTCACAGTTTTCTGTCACCAGTTTCAAGTTTTGTTGCTTCTCAAGTTGTACAATGTGCTGGACAGAACATTTACTCCTGTAAGAAAACATGATACTGACTGATGACCTGACTTAGTGGCAGAAGAGTCCACAACTTACTAAAAATTAACTAAATTGAGGCCAGCTCTTAATCTTTGTCTAAATTAGTTGTATTGCCCATCTTAATTCTATTGATTGCAGTCTACAAATATTTGTCTCGAAAAGTTTATCCTAACAAGGAGTTAAAAAATATAATTGATGGATACCACCTTTGCTATGTTAAAGAAGGATATCATCACACCAATCATCCGATCGTTGATTAATAGTTTGGAGATCATTGAATTTTCTGCTTTCTTTCTGTAGGCGTTTTCGTTAAACTGTGTCATCGGATTATGAACAAATACTTTTCTTGTCACCAACTTGTTGGCAAATGATTCATTTTTCAATATTTCCTTCCATGGGGTGTCTGCACATGATGATGTACGCGCACTGCTGTTGTATTGATGTCTGTTGGACCTTCGTTCGTGATTGGATACCTGGGAAAATTAGCGTTGTTATAGTTTACAAACTAGAAATATCAAAATACAACATAAACTATACATAAAAGATACCGCGTGTATTTTCATCTTTTGATCTATCTGCAAATGATTTCAGTATCCTAGATTAAATAAAGAGACAACTTAATCTATGTACATTTCTTACTAGGAGATCTTATGTTTCTCCTCTCCTCATGTGCAGCAAAACAATGACAGTTGTCTTGCTTACACGTTAGCAGCAATTTGCAAGTTATTGTCTGAATTTGGAGTCTCAAACATGAGGGGACTTATTGGTTCATCCTATTCACCAGTTACCAGTATAGGAACTTCATTATCTACTCAACAGCTCTTATATGTTCTCCTGAGAAGATCCTTAAAGCGAGCAGAAAGTCTAAAGCTGAAACGGCTGGTTGCATCTAATCATCTTGCCATGGCTAAATTTGACCTGACTGTAAGTGCTTTGATCACTCTCTTATTATTCATTACAGTGACCAGATAATCTAAGGTGATTCAAGTCATAGCATACTCCAAGGGAAAAATCCATTTGCACGAGTACAGTTGTGTTATGTATTGGTGAAAAAATTGTAAAGGCAGTAAGAAAGAGAAGCGGTAGCTGTTCTCGCTTATTTATTGCATGCTATTACTCATTTTGTGTCGTTGAATATGTAGCACAAATTTCTCAATTGAATTTGTTGCCTTTGGGTGCTCATAATTAAATTGTGACAGAGATATTTTTCTATAGGATACTGGATAATCCAATGGGGGATTGGTGAACTTTTGAGATTTGGAGAGTGTAGAATAGCCAATGCCAGGCTGAGTTCGTGAACTTAATAGTTCTTATAAAGCAGTAATATTAGCATTTCTTACTTTATATAATCAGACTTGGCCTTGTCAAAATAATCATACTATGGCTACTTTTAACATTCATCATCCGGTTTATGTCTCCTATATGAGATATCTTAAATTGTTAGACACATTATGCCCCAGGCTTTGGTTCAAGAGTAGAGCTAATACAATGTGGTATATATGGTAGGTGCATGTCATAAGTTCGAATCCTATATAGTGAACCAAGTTTATTATTTAAGTGGAGAAGAGCAGAGAGGCAAGCCCATTATCCACTGAGATTTGGATTAGTGGTTTTGTTGTTGAAAAACTACAATTCATTTCGTGTCTGTTTGAGAAAAGTTCAAATCTCTAAACTAAGCTGAACCTAAATTGTTATGTGTGTTCTCTCATCGAATTAAATATGTTTTCTGAAATGCTACTCAATCCAACAATCAATCAAGTAAGGCCCAATCCCAAATTCTTCCCAGTTGCTTAAGATTCACTTCGCAGGGCTTTCCCCTATGGGCTTGATAATTCTGGCGTGCTCCATTCGCCTCTCCCTCCCATACTTATCCCTGAGAACAACCATCCCTAGTGTTTCTTACTCAACCCTTCATAACCATTTCCATGCAAAACTTTAACTGTTACATCCCTTATCCCCAACAGACATTCCTTAATAGGCAAAGTGATATTACCCCTGTCAACAGGTGAAATCTTTTCACTTTGATTTCCATCCAAAGAATAATTCCTCTACAGCTGCTCATTTCTTAGCCCCTGCTACAGCATTTCTAAGAGAGACATGTAGCAAGCAGACCGGTTGGTACCTGTTAGGCCGTTTTCCCCAACTAACTACACCCCTTAGAAGAGGTATGTTTCTTCCTTCCTCCAAGTGGTTTCTTAAACTCCAGTAAAATGGGATTCCAAGCTGATATGAATTGTGATTGGAACCTAAAGGTAGCCACAAATGCATTACGGATTGCTGATTTACATCTAGAAAACTTACATCAACTTTTTTAGGTTGTGATATTCCAATTGGACTCATCCTTAAATTGATCCTATCCTATGTTCTGACATAGATTGGAACCACAACCAAACTCCTCTCAAGTACCTTGGCCTACATTAGCATCACAATTAAAGAATCATTTGTAAACAACCAGGGAGACACCAACCACATTCTTAGGTCCACTTGTTGTAGCCTTGAAGCCATTAATAAAGGCCCCTGTGCTGTGATGCGCCTAAGAAACGTAGAGGAAAGCATATTTTTGTAAGGAAAACTTCAAGGAATGCAGTAACCACTGTTTTCCTAGAGCAAATGAGCTATATGAGTCTTCAAAAACTAAGTTCTCAACATGTTATAGTACCCATGTTCTAGGTTTTAAATAGACACTGTAGAGGCCCTTACCAAATTTGACTTGGAGTGCTTCAGTGCTGCAGCAATGCATATAGAAGTACTAGATTTTTTAGGATAAAATTAACCCTTGTTATTTTAGTTGGATTCTTCATATAATAACCTTACCAGGAAAGGCAATTATTTCCATTTTTGAAATAAATATTTATGAGTAAAAAGTTCTTATAGTTTCTGACCTGACTAATCAAGTAGTGGGTTCTCAGATCAACTGTTGGGTTCTGCATTTGAGAAGCAGGTTGATGACAAACCGATACCTAATTAGAAACAATAAACTGTAGGCATTAATTTTTTGTGGTATCATCATTTTCTCTTTAACTCCTGTAAATATGTCTTCTAATTTTGAAAGTAAAGGCAAAATATGACTGTCCATTTTGCAATTACGTATCCTCATCATGCATATAAAACATCCCAAATGACTTAAGGGAATTGAAACCATATATAAATTATTATTTATATTGTATTTTATTGAGTTGTATACACTGTAGGCATATTCCAAGGTCATTGCAGTTTTTCCATTTCATCTTTTGGAAAAGTCAACTTTGCTAAAAGAAAATGTATGCTATCCCAGTATCCCCAAATTGCCAGGGTCTATGTTTCACATTTAGGGCATGTAAGTGATAGAACTTTATGCATGGCTCATGCTTAATTTTTAAGAAATTATCTTCTTCAAAGAGCCAAAGTTCATGTTTTGGTCCTTACGATTACAGAGGCGAACCTAGGATTCGAAGTCAACGGGGGCACCACTAAAGGCAGATGCACGTTAGTCGAAACGATGTCAGGCAACTGCATAGTCTAGATTTTTTATTAAACACCCATAGAACTGGTGTCCAAAGGAAAAATATGAATTTATTTGATGAAGGTTGTTCTGTGGACCGGTGGTTTGGGCACCACTTTGCATAGGTTAGGTTTCGTGTTCGAAACCTGTCACGTACATGTTTTATGCATTTCTTTTAATTGTCAGCTAAAGAAAATGATGTAGCAGCCAGCCAAGGTTCAAACTCGGGTCGCGCGGCAGCGTTCTTGGGCCTAAGCTGCACGCTAACCAAATGACCCAACCCAGCAGATATGTTTGTGGGGTCCTTTTAAAATATATCCTAGTTCTTCAAGGTATATACACATATATACTAATTTTTTTTCGAAGTTAACGGTTGCACATGCATCCGTAACCCACCCCATGGGTCTGCCTCTACTTACAAGCGTGGTCATTTCTCAGCACATTCTTGCACTTCACTCCAAACACGAAAGTCGCCTTCACACAACATCCATGAACAGAATTCTCCCAGGAGATAACTTTGAATTTCACAATATGAGTAAGAGCTGGCTTAATACAGGGAACAGATCTTGACCTGAAAAGAGAGGTCCTGTGATGCCATAAATGAAAGCTGCCTTTTCAATTTTATAGAAATAAAGCGAGGGTGTTTAATTGAGATAATCTTTCTAATCCATTTCCCGCTTTCTTAGAATCAAGTGATCATCTGAGTTGCTCTTTGAAGCAGGTTAAGTGTCACTACTTCACTTTCCATTCGAAGACCTGACCAGATATGAGCTTAAATGTCATCTGCTACAATTTTAGAAGTTCGCTTACTGTGTTCTACTTATATGATTCCTTTGGTCAGCGGTAAAATGCTTAACAGTTTCACCAGGAATATTTGCAACATCGAGCCAGAATATTTTCTCCGTATTTTCTTGTTAACACAACACATAGTTCCTCTGATCAGGGGGAGTCGATGCTGAACATTGTATTTTTAGAGGGCTTTTTGCTCTCTTCATATGATTGATGTCTTTATCTTTGATTTGTAAGGAAACTGAACCTATGACATTTAATGTGCAGCAAGTGCAACGACCTTTGCTTTCATTTGGTCCAAAGGCTTCCATGAAACTTGCAACATGCCCAACCAATGTCTGCAAGGTTATATTCGCTCCAAGATGTTTGCTTTATCTTTTAAAGTCTAAAGTTTCTTTTGAGTTGTCCATTTCTTTACCCTGATTGTATTCATTCTTGCAGGAACTGAGGTTGAGTTCTCATCTGATTAATGAATATGGTGATGAGGCTTCATTAATGATCTCAGATGGGGCCTTTTGTACTCAATGGATTAAGAATTTGAAGAAACCAAAAGGTTCTGTTGTCTTTTCCCAGGAGAATGAATGTAGGAGTAATACTGACGCGTTCCAGTTCTGTGGGCAGCCATGTTCCATCCCTGGATCTGTGCTGCAACTTTTAGGCTCTTCATATTTGTTCCGTGCTACTGCCTGGGAGGTATATGGCAGGTGATGTGGTGTCTTGGTTCTCATTCTTATTTTTGCATACAGTACCCCACCGTTTTCTCTGTGCGATACGTTCCTTGTGCAGTTTTTGATAAAGTGCTGTTCAGAAGCATGAAAATATTCTGCCTGGGTGACCACTGCCAACGTTAAAATTTGCTAACTGCATGGTTAGTCAAACTATGCCACTATTTGTGATAAATGTTTAGGGAAAATTAAGGAGGAACAACAAATCTGCTTTGCTGCTTAATTAGAAAGATACTTGTCATTACTTTCCAATGCAAAATATAAGTACTACTCCCTCGTTCAGAATTCGAGGGTTTTCATCTTGACTGGACAAGTATTAAGACCTTTAAACCTTAATAGCTGAAGTGTTTTAGAATTTTAATGAAGATGTGGTTCAAAAGTAGGGATTTTCCTACTGAATAGTTTCAAAATTTAAGTACACATCATGGCACTTGGTACTCTTTCTTACAGGAGAAACGTTTTATGGATTATATGGAGATTAGTTCTACTAGATTTTATGCCAGAAACCAAATGTCGTATAAATAACACATTTTTTTACTCAGAGATCAAATTTTCTATCATTTCGAACCAAATGACCTATTATTCTCTGGAGTACTTCCCCATAGTTCAAACTTTTGGTTGACACTTTCACTAGTTCTATCAGATTACACGTCTTTAAATAGCACAATTAAACAAGTATAGTCTCAAAGTCTATCCTTGGTGTAGATCCATGATCATGGGAAACTCACCACAGTTTTACACAAGTGGAAGCTCTCTCATACATGTCCTTTTGTCCTTTATGACATTTATTTATATGTTTATTATGAACTTGTTTATCCTCCAACATCAACTAGGGGGATTTTCTTGGCACTCTATCATGCGCTTTCTCTTGGTCAATGAACACAACAAGCAAATCTTTCTTTCTTTGAAGATCTACTAGGCATAAATCTCAATTGGCTCTCTGTCTGTTGTAGTATCTATTTGTCTATGCCTTATTCTGATAGAAGAATGTCTATGCTCCATCACTCTTCCCCAAAGTTTCATAATATGACTCATAAGTTTAATGCCACGATGGATGACACAACTTTAAATATCTTCTTTGTTCTTAATATATTGGAATGAAGCTACTCTTCATTTACTTGTTAAGCATCCTACGACTTCTTAGTATAACATTAAATAGCTTGGTAAGACATACTACTTTAACATCTGGACTACATGTTTTTCTAATCATCGTATTTCTCATAACTTCCTTTACTTTTACTGGCCTACTTATACGAGTATAGTTAAAGTTCCTATTGCGTAAAGATGTGTGGAGATCTGTAAAGTTATCCTTTTGATTCGAGTTGAAGAGTTGATCAAGATAGCTTTTCCATCTCCTTAGATCACATTATCTTCTGCACCAATTGTTGAGAATCGTCTTTAAGGAAATGGACCTTGAGTGATGAGTCTAACTGAATCTCAAAAATCATCTCATGAGATGAGGATTGCCCAAGACATATAAGGAGACAATACTTCATTCCTTCAACCAAAATGAGAAACTCATTTCCCCTTGTATACCAAGGACTGGACATCTGGTGTGTGGACAATATATCATGAGGGACCAATTATGGATAAACCAAGAGCAGGGATATGTCTGGCTTTGATACCATGTCATGAAAATGGATTCAAGTCTAACTCAACTCCAAAAATTAGCTCATGAGGTGAGGATGGCCAAAGACATCAGGAGGCAATATTCCATTCCCTCAACTAATATGTGACACTAACACCCCCCCCCCCCCCCCCCGCACATCAAGGATTAAGGACTGGGCAAATGGTACGTGGACAATATAACATGAGGGCTCAAAATAGGGTAAACCACAAGTAAGGACGGATCTAACTCTGATACCTTGTGAAGAAATAATGTGGGGGAATTATTTATAAGATTCCCATCTGGTGAAGTTCCAATGCACGTGGTCACCGGATGAGGGCCGGAGATGAAAATCCGTCGATGCCCATGGATCATAGACCCTATATTAAAAAGGAGGGATGGGACTGGACAGTTGGCAAAACCTGTAAGCTTTACTACACACGTGGGTTCCTCGAAGGAAGCTCCAAGTTTGAAAAGTGTTCTTCTTCTGAGAAAGACGAAAGCTTGCAAGTTGAAGAATTTGTAGTTACACAAGATAGAGAACTTGTGGGTCACAAAAAAATGAAGGGGTTGAGGGTTTCTTCCAGATTCTGCCACAAGTATCCGGCATGCAATGGTCGAACTGACTAGGGAAGAGATGTGATTATGTGAAGACGCTGAACCAATTAAACTCTGGACCAAGAAGCTGAGATGAATGCAACCTTATGGGTACACAGTAACGTAATCAGACTGCAATCAATTTGGTTTGGACTTTATGGGATGCGAGAAGGAGGCTTTAGCACTCTTCATGAAAATGATAGCAGAAGAAATAAAAGCAAGCAAGAAACAGAGAGGCTGTTGTAAAGACACCAAAATTCAAAGGCATGCATGAAATAAAGGGGTTGTTTTTTAACATGAAATTCAAGGAGAGTGAGTCGGGGTGTAGAAACAGGGGGAAAGCGTCAATCAAAGACATGAATGTTAAAATTGTTTCATGGAATGTGGGGATTGAATAGGAGGGGAAAAGGAGAACGGTGAGTAGTAAGGTTCAAAAGTGGAAAGCAAATGCGTTCTGCTTTCAGAAGGGGATGCAGTAGAGACAGTGAAATAACTGTGGGTTAGTAGGGGAGTTAGATTTGGTTGTTCGGAGGCCAGAGGTACTGGGAGGGGGGGGGGGGAAGGTATATAATTGTAAGGTGAGATAGAAGAATCTGGAAGCGGATGTTTAAGTAATGGATTCATTTGGGTCACATGAAAAAGAGAATAATGGTATAAGATATTCTTTTTGAATTACATATTTTGATTATTCCCTCAGATCGATGCGTATAAAATATTGTATACAAGAATCCACAAAAAGGAAAATTGTATCGCACCCTCTAATTTTGCTAATCACATAATTGCAGTAATTGGGAATCAATCAGGGGCCATTTCAAATTTTACTATATAATTTACCATATTTTCATTCTTAATGTTATCATATGCAAATGTATATCGTGGCCTTTCATGAAAATTATAGAAGCATCATAGAGACTCTAGATTTATCGTGACCTTTCAAGAGCTTGAGTATTGCCCTGTTTTCTCTTGCATATTCTTCTTCTTGTTAAGGTTCTGTTTTTTGTTCCCATTCACTTATTTGCTTCTCTTTTCTGTTTTCCAATAATTACTATCCACCCTAGGTGGTTTTGTAAAATGAAAAAGAAATATAAAGATGCATGGGGAACAAACTTTACCATTTTCTGAATTCTAACATCTCAAACAGTATCAAAAAGCTTAATAATTTATCATTAGTTCCATGTATTAAACAAAATAAAACAAGCACCTAATTAGGGGAGCGTCCTGTCTGTAGTTTTAGGACTTGCCGAATGATAAGGATTTTTAAGATTTTTCTTCACGACTTCAATTTATTATAGATGGACTAATTCACTCTCTTAAAAGTATTGGCTTTACAAAGCAAGGAAGTAGGAAAGCAGTATCCACTGTCCAATGGGTGTCATGCAGAGACACAAAAGTTTGAAGCCAGTTAGAGATTTTGAACTTCAACTCTTGAAGGCATGGTTTTGCCTTATAAGCTTGTAAATCAGTTGTTGCATTGTTTGTTTAAAAAAGGCTAGATGGAACTTCCAATGCAGTTCACATTTTTTAGGTGCTTTATTGTCACCTGTCAGCTATGTCTAGAATCTGTAGATTACAAGCAGTTAATTCAAATCCTTTACTGATTTTCTCCTTTTGTGTGCTAATTTAGTTCACCCCTTGCTCGAATGAATGCACTGCTTTATGCAACATGCTTTGCTGACTCATCGAGGTAATACTTGTATGATTTTTAAGTAGTTGAGCTGTTTGAAATTGTGCCTTCATATCATCTCACAGAAACTTGCTTGCATATCTGCTTGCAGTTTGGATGATGTGGCGTTAGCATATGGCAAACTTATCCAGCATCTAGCAGTATTTAAAGGATACAAAGGTTTGCACAAATATCTGAATACTTATTAAATATTCTTGAATTGACATAGCTATGCTTACATATATTTGTAGGCTCATTGCATTATAGTGGTGCTATACTTCAGCTAGTTGCTGATGCTTTGTTCATGTTAGAATAGTAATAGGTATATATTATCCTACTTATAATAGGAATAAGAATAGTAATAGTAATAATAGTATATAGTGTCCTACTTAGAAAAGGATTGTATTGTAGTGTCCTAGTTGGAAAAGGTGTCTATTGTAGTGTCTATAAATAGGGTCTTTCTATAATAATGTAGAAACGACAATTCAACAATATTTTTCTCCTATATTTCTCATATGGTATCAAAGCCTCTACGAGCTTGGTAGAAAATCCAAGAACTTCCATTGCCGGTGGGTGGCTATTACCCATATATGCTGCCTGTCTGACCAATGATTATGTTAGCAAAAGTTGGGTCACCGTGCATCTTTCCGGTGACTACTTTCTCATATGTAATTTGTGTAGCATCGTGCCATCCTTCCGGTGACTACCTTTTTTTTCATATTTGATTTGCGTAGCACCGTGCATCTCTTTGGACTACTTTTCATATTTAATTTGCGTAGTACTGTGGATTTTTTTGGAACTACTTTCTCATATCTGAGTTGCATAGCATCGTATATCTTTTTGGTGACTCCTCTGATTTGATTTGTGTAGTTTTGTTCGTTTTCCGGTGACTCCTAAATCTGATTTGCGTAGGGTTGTGCCATCATTCCGACCCTACCCATATAATTTCTCTCTTTTCAGTAGGGTCATGCCATCATTCCAACCCTACCCATATTATTTCTCTTTTACAATAGGGTCGTGCCGTCAATCTAACCTTTCCTTTATAATTTCTGTTTTCCAGTGGGTCGTACCATCATTCTAACCCTACCCATATAATATTATTTTTTAGATTGTGACCAATTTCAGTCATGAAATCTAATACTTCGGCATATGAGCATGTTCCGACCAGTTTTTCGGTGACTTTCTTGTTTAATATCGACTCTTCTATTGATTCCAACATGATCCATATACTTTATACTAGATTTTGAGTACTTTCCGGCGACTGTTGCATTGTGAAGAAGTCTATATGGAGCAACCACCTAAATTTGTTGCTCAGGCGGAGTTTAGTAGCCTTGTATGTCTATTGTGTAAGTCACTTTATGGTTTGAAACAGTCTTTGCAAACTTGGTTTGGGAAGTTCAACATTGTAATTTTATCACTCTGTGTTTTATCGGCATTATGCATCAAATTCAGTATTTCATGAGAAGACCAAACATATTGAGATTGACTGACATTATGCATCAAATCCAGTATTTCACGAGAAGACTAAGCACGTTGAGATTGACTGTCAATTTTGTGAAGTCGAGTGATCAACTTGCATATATCGCACCAAGCCCCTCATTGGTCCTCGATTAATTATATTTGCAACAAGCTAGGTACATATGATTTGTATGCACTAGCTTGAGGGGGAGTGTTAGAATAGTAATAGGTATATACAATCCTACTTAGAATCGGAATAAGAATAGTAGATAGTGACCTACTTGGAAAAGATTGTATTGTAGTGTCCTAGTTGGAAAAGGTGTCTATTGTAGTGTCTATAAATAAGGTCTTTCAGTAATAATGCAGAAACAACAATTCAATAATATTTTTCTCATATATTTCTCATAGTTCACTTGATTCTTTTTTTTATTCATGGATCATGGATGTATATGATTTTTTTTATCACACCCATAAGGTAAACACACACCTCTTTAGGTATTGCTTGCTTTTACACATAATTGCCATATGGTAACAGTACTGTTTTTAACTCTGCAATTCTTCTGTAGCCCTAAGTGCCTACCAAGAGAATGGATCTTAGGCCCAACGAAACTCCAAATGTTAGTTCACTAGGTGAGAATGGCCCAAGATCAAATAAGAAGACAACAACTTATTCCTTCAACAAATTTGGGACACTCTAACACACCCTCCCCCCTGCATGCTCAGAACTAGACAGGTGGATCAGGAACAACATAATATAGGAGCCCAACCAAGAACAGGGATGAATTTGAATCTGATAGCATGTTAAAAAAATAGTCCTTGAGCCTAACTAGACCCGAAAAGTTAGCTTGTGCGGTGAAAATTGCCTAAAATCATTGAAGAGACATGGTAAAAAGTTGTAGGAACTTGAGCCTATTCCCTCAACCAATGTGGGAGACAGATCTTTCAAGACTTACCAAGAAACTTGCTAAAACTGAAGACAGCCATATGAAATACAGGTCCGCTCGTGTAAAAAATGGTGTTTTGACAGAAATGCAGGCAGAACTGGCAAGCTTTTTTTTTTTTGTCTTTCTAGAGGCGGATAACATTCATGTTTAATTTGGTCCGAAGAAGGATAGAAGTATGCCGAGTGGAATTATGATTGTGATAGGTAATGAGTTGTGACCAAAGTGTTCTCAGGTAAATACTAGGCCAGCTCATTTAGATCACGTACATTAAGCATTTCTGGCAGTAGTGCAGGAATAATTCAGAACTAATTAGCTTTTTCTTGTAGAGAAAAATAACATTGCTGTATAATCCTGGTCGAGGGAAAAGAACTGATGGACTTTAAATAGGATCATTATAGGTTACTGAGTTATGTCCAAGGTGTTCTCAGGCGAATTCTGATCAATCTCATGCCCTGGAAGGGATCCGTAATTGTTCAGTCTTAAACTGGGCTTTAGTGTACTGTGCCTAAAACTGTATGTAATCCCTCAGACTTCATTGATACATATGCAAGAGTAGGAAAGCCAGATCTATTTCTTTCCTTTCTTCTGTTAAAAGAACATATCCTTTATTCTCCTACATACCTTGGAAAAAAAAGGAAAGTGAAGAGGAAAAATGAATTTATACTATAGTTTTTATTTTATTTTAGTTTTTTTTACATATACTCAATAATGACTGCTTATGTATGTACCTTCAGAAGCTTTTGCTGCTCTGAAACTCGCAGAGGAGAAGTTTGTATCGCTTTCAAAGTCACAAATTCAGCTTGTAAAATTACAATTGCTCCATGATCATGCTTTACATACGTAAGGCGACATCTCTAGTATTTACTTGGTTTTATACTTCTTTTTCCTAGTCTGATTGGATGTAGTTGCCGTTCAGGGGAAATTTAAAATTAGCACAACAGTTGTGTGATGAGCTTGGTGTTTTAGCCTCTTCAGTAACTGGCGTAGACATAGAGATAAAGGTTGAAGCTAGCCTCCGCCATGCTCGAATACTGATTGCAGCAAACCAATTTAGCCAGGTAGCCTGCTTTCCTTTTATTAAACCTCTTTCTAGGTGACTCAATAATAAAGTAGATAAAGTGATGATGTTCCAAGTTCTACATGACCTGCTAATTTTTTTGGTCGTTCTATTTCTAGTTTTTGAACTTTGTACCAAAGGATATGATGTGATAATGTAATTAATTGGATTTTCGTGCTCATTTCCTATCATTTTTAATCAATAGAAGAATGTGCCCTCTTGCTCCAAAAAGATGGTAGATAAATAATGAAAAGGAATACAATCAATTACATCCTAAACTGGTGATGCTTCAATACGCCCGTGATAGAAAATTGGATACTTGAGTTCACTTTATGTTTGCTCGTTGGTCAGGAAATGATTTCGGTTGTCTATCTATCTGACTTTAAGGCTTTGACTGTTGTTCTATGTGAATTATTATATGGACGTGCTGATGATAATATATTTTCGTTAGTTCATTGCCGTTATGCATGTAGGTCATTTTCATTGCTCTCAACTCCTTCAAATTTCGTGAAAATTGGCATGTTTTTCTGGGCTGGGCATTTCTTTTTCTTGTGAAAATCCTGAGGCCATGGTCTAGTTAAGGTGGCTGGACCAGCAAGTCTGGTGTTGGTTCTTAAGTCGAGTAATATTTGATCTTGGCTTGATTTAGTGCATTGTTTCTGGTATTGCAGTCCCTATAAAATGGGCACCGCCCTACCTTTGAGTGCGGAATCCCTCTTCACTCTTCTATTTATTGTCTTTGGGGATAAGAAGCACCATAAGCATGCATTCCATGTATGAGTAGTTCGCTAGCAGATTTGCTTGTGCCTGTGATGCCAAGGATTATAAGACATCCACTCTACTCTCTGATTTTGCAGCCAATGTGGTGATGATGACCATTCTGTGGGACTATTCTGAATGAGTTGTTACTTGTTACCTTAAGATATTTGAACATCAAAAAAAGATTCTGCTTTGCTTTTGGCTTTGGCTTCAGTTTCAAAAAGAGATATTTGAACATCAAATTTGTTCACAAGTCCACTTCGAATCTTTTTACCCCAAATTCTCACAATATTTTGTTTCTCGTACATCTAATAACTTGATATTGTGGTTTGCTGTGGAAAGTACTTATCATTATCTTCTATTTCCTAAGCTATAGGTAATTATTTGATCTAATTTATGCAGTCCAAAGACAATAAGCATATAAAGAATTTCTTAATTTCCTTCTTATTGATGTGATTTTCCCAGGCAGCAGCTGTTGCACACTCTCTCTTCTCTATGTGCTACAAATTCAGTTTACAAGTCGAGAATGCCACTGTTCTTCTTTTAATTGCAGAGATACACAAGGTAGTGATTTGCTGTTATGTTAGATAAGTCAGAGTTGAATCAGTATTTTTTATCACAAGTACTTTCTTATACAAGGTATCACCTTGTCAGAAGAAATGGAACGTCTTTTACCATTTATGCATCTTCACCGGTGTATTGTAACACTTGAACTTACTTAGGCCTATACTCCTTCCTTTCTCTGACATGATCAAGATGTAATAGAACTTTGTTCATCCACTTCAGAGATCAGGAAATGCTGTTTTAGGTATTCCGTATGCATTGGCAAGCCTTTCCTTTTGTAAATCTTTCAACTTGGACCTTCTCAAAGCATCTGCTACACTGACACTTGCGGAGCTTTGGCTCTCACTTGGATCAAGTCATGCGAAAAGAGCTTTGGCTCTCATACATGGGGCATTTCCTGTACTTCTTGGTCATGGTGGTTTGGAGCTCCGAGCTCGGGCCTTTATCACTGAAGCAAAATGCTATCTTGCTGACTCAAGCTTTTCAGGTGCCTTATCGGAATTTCAATGCTCAACCTGATAGCTATACTTATCGTAAACAGGACTTTTCATTAGTTTGTGTATAATCATATCATGGTTTTGAGTTTTAACTACATCCTGTGTCCTCAACCTCAAACTATAATCCTTCTCCATGTCCCCCAAATAATGCAAACACCTTAAATCTTACAAACTTCATTCTTTAACAAATGGATACCCTTGTCTGGATTTACATGACCCATCATAAGTTAGAACTAAAGGATTAAGATAAATTTGGGTAACTTGTTTCTGTGAGACTTCTTTTTTAGCAATTATAGCTCTTGTGGACGCCTAAGATTTTATGAATCAGAATGAAGCAGGAGATCCTGCCTAACTCTCCAGTAGTTCCCCTCATATCCAGCCACAACTTGTCATTTACTTTTCCCCATCAAGCTGCCGCTCCATCCCCACTTCTCATGGGTTCATATATCCTTTGACCTTGAAATTCTTTGATGATTAATTTGTTTCTCTTTAGATATGATTCACCTTTACCTCATTTGAGACTCTTACCTTCAATTAATGCACACACATGGAGACATGCTAATCATTTAAAAATTGACAGTTAACTTGCTACTGAATTTTCTTGTTGGCACTGTTTTCTTATATTCTTGAGCTCTTAATCTGTGCTTAATGATACCTTATTGTTCTCAGTATGCGAAGAACCAGAGATGGTACTTGAACCATTAAGGCAGGCTTCCGAAGACCTGGAACTTCTAGAGGTTAGTCAATATGGGAACAATTTAGTATTCCAATTAGGTACATCTACACTTATTAAAGAACTTCAGCTTGGGTTTCAAGTTCCATATGACGATATTTTCCTGTGAAGAAAGGAAAAATTAAAGGAAAAGAAACAAATCCATGAAATTTGAAATTTTTTGTATTAATGTGCCAATAGAAGTACTCTAGATATGTTTGTGGGGAATGATATACATCTATAGCTCAGTGAAATAATTTCTAGAAAATACAAAAGTTGTATTTCACGACATCCATCCTCCTTTTTTTTTCCGTTCAATTTTCTTCCTCTTTACCCTTTAAAAAGACATTAACTCTAAGAAAGTGTGTGTCCCCTCAGATCCCTTGTGCTTGTACTGTGTTGGAGTGCGTCTGTGTGTGGGCCTGTATTCATGCATATGGACAAATAGCTACAAACTTGCTATACCAAATTCTAACATGTTAAAAGCTATGTTGTTTGGACTTTCCAAAAATACTGCCGTGCCCGTGTCGGATCCTTAAAAAATGCACTATTTTTGGAGGATCCGACATGCACCTGTCGCCATTATTGAAGAGTTGGAGCAACATAGGTTAAAGGTAGAATATACATGAGAAAAGTAAAGGCTTATCTATCTAAAGCTTTCGATTGGATGATGTGAAGGAAAATTAGAAAGGGAATGTAACGAAGAAAATGAAGGTAGAATTCTCCAAAGAGTAGTTACCAATTACGTGGGATTAATGGAAAGAAAACAATGGAGTGAATCCGAAAAGGAGCAATTCTGTAAGATTAGGATTCAGTTAGGTGAATTTAAATGACCCCCAAAGGTGTGAACTAGTGGTTAATGAAGTGGAATGAAAATCATGAGGTCCCAGCGGAAGCAAAAAACACTAGGTGATATCTACCCATCTGCCTGAGCCTTGGTGGATAGAGTTCACCGGTATCTAAGCCGGTGGGAGGTATCAGACACCTGGTAGAATAGTCGAGGTGCTTAAAAGTTGGCTCAGACTCTATTGGCAGAATCTTTTTTTTTTTTATGACCTTGTCATAAACCTTTTTTAGTGAGTTAAATTCTCTTCAGACTTAAGTACCAATTGGTGAGGTGAAGTAAAAGAGAAAGAGTAAAGTGTGAACTACTTTACTCCATTTTCCTGACACTTCCCAAAGAAGGTATTTTCCATTAATTTTTTTTTTGGAAATCAGTAACTTCGAAAGTATTTTCCATTAATTATCTCTGAGTTTTCCTTATTATCCTCCTCATCCATTCTATTTTCTTTTCCGTCATATTTAGTTCTGTTTTCTGGGCCTTGCAGAATAACTTTTGGACTCCAGCTTCTATTTGTTAGCTGAATTCAAGAAAATAATGGTCTTCGTTAGATGTTTAATCTGCACATCAATTCTCATGAATGTGGTAGTTGTGAATGCTTGTTTCCTTTGTGTAGTGGTAGATTTGACATTTCGCTTCCATTTCCCCGGAAATTATCACATTTCTTTCACTGATTCTCTAGAGTACAACAACATACCTAGTGTAATCCCGTTAGTGGGATCTGTAGCGTCAACCAGAAATAGGAACCATGGAGAGGTACTCTAGAAAATAAAGATTTAAAGCATATGTAGTAGAGTAGTAACTTAAGCACTGCCAGAGTAGTACCATAAGAAAGATGAAGGTGAAACGAAGTTGTGATTATTGTGCCTAAATGTATACAATTCAAGTATCTAGGTTAGTTTTTCAGGAGAATGGCATGATAAATGGAGATGTAATCCTAGAATCAACATAAGGGGGCTAATGCCTGTTTCATTTTAATTTATACCATTAAAACTAAAAAAAGAATTAAAATAGGTGGCTAATGCCTGTTCCATTTTAATTTATATTGTTATAAAAATATAAAAGAATTAAAATAAGTGTCTGAAATGGACAAGTGCTACGAGATTGCTAGTAACATGATTGTTTCCAGTTTTAATGGCGTGCTAGGTTTTAAATTATTTATCTTAATAGGTATTTCCAGTCTAGATGAACTAATGCATCATTTGGGTACTCTATTTTGGCTATATTCTGGATTTATGTAATGTTAATTCTTGTCAGATATTAAACAAAATTGGAGTTACTAGGCTTTTCTGCTATCATATTTGAATATGGGCAGCCTAACCTAACAATCAATTAAAAAAGGAGATTAGGGATCATTGCTTTTTGAGCATGTTTCACGTATCTTTTTTACCTATTCATCTTAGCGTTGACTCAATTTTTTGAGCAATAAGGGAGGACAATTTGAAATTGGCACATGAACAGCTCAACTAAACCTTCTTTGTGATTCAAATAGGTGAGGTCGCACCATTCATTTTTTTTGAAATCCTTTTCAAGGATAATAGGTCAGGTCACAATCGTAAATCATGCGTGAAGACTACTTCTCAGCCTACTTTACTACTCAAAAAATCTATTCTTGGCTTACTTAAGTTTGATTGATTACCATTATAGAGGAACAGAACCATCTCCACAACGAATCTACTCCAACTTGTATTGCTTGCACTGAACTGTTTCTGTTTTCTGGTAAAGTGGAATTGCCTTTGTTTGGCTAACAACTTCAAGCTTTAAAAACCCCCTATCCCCCGGCCATAAAAAGGAAAGAAGAAGATGCATTTCTGACATGACAATGACTCTTCATATGCAGTATCATAAATTGGCTGCCGAAGCGTTTTACTTGATTGCCATTGTTTATGATAAGTTGGGGCAGCTGGACCACAGAGAAGCAGCAGCTAAGTCATTTAGGAAACACATCACCACTCTTGAAAGCTCTGATATTTGAAGATCCTCGTCAATATTTTGCTAAGAAACCAGTATCTTACATAAATATTCCTTTGGTGAGTGATTATTTGTCTTCTTGCAGCTACTTATGAAAATAACTTTTAGCTTTTTGATACAGCATTGTTCACAAGATGGAAGGTTATCTATTAAAGTGCATCAGTAGTATAATTTTGTAACTTTGTATATATTTGAAACTGAAACTCTTGCTGCAAGTATGAATTCATGATTCGGGAGTTACCATATAAAATGGGAAAGGATTGTGCTAGCAGAAGGAAAAAAATAAGTTGAGATGACCATAATGTTTTACCCTGTACTATTTCGCTTAGTCGAGGGTTTTTGGTTTTCTTCAGTTCCGAAAGAGTATTGCTTGGTTTTAAGAACAAGAAAAATTAGCGCTAAATAATTTATTCTGATTGATACTAGAAAAATAAATCATCTGTAAAGTGCCCAACTAGAAAATTGAGAGGCAATAGATAATTGGAAGTTGGATGTAGCATCTGGCATTGCTCTTCAGTTATTGTACAGGAAAGACAATTTTATTTATTTATTTATGTGGGGAATAACCCTTAGCCATGTTGTCTATTTGACATTTATCTCCTCATAATACCTTCTTAATGCTCTTAGAGATCTAAATGGGGAAAGAAGACTTCTGAATTACCAGATACGCGCTACTTTAAGTATGATAAGTTTGTCTTCACTATCCTCTTTGCCTTTTCTATTGAAACAGGGAGGTTCCCTTCTATTTGTAGGGCCCACAAGTAAGACAGCTAGATCAAAAGGCGAAAGAGTTTTCTTACTACAGTTGGGGTTGCTCGCAAGAAATATCTGATTATGTTTTCTTTTTCCTATCACAGGCTGTTTTCTATCGTTGCAGACGTGCCTTGTTACAGCTTCGTTGTTCATGCAGCATTAGAAGCATTGGGTAGTGAAGATAGAACAGATGTGGCTTTCCGATTGCATGAAATTTTAGAAACTCCTCTAATTTCTTGGCAAGTGTACCGTCCAGATATCAGGTTAGCCTCTTAGTGCTCGGTGACTGGTATGCCAGTGAGTGTATTAACATTTTCTAGTATGATTGTTGGAATTCTCGCCCCGCTTGCAAGGCCTACAAGAGGCTAAGGCTAAACGATTTACCAGGGGATTCAGATTAGATGTCCACAATCTCTGATCGGGTGATAGAGGTCTAACGAATCCCCCCTGAAGAGATTGTCTGTAGTAAGAACCATCTCCAACTTTTCTGATGATGTGTATGTATCTTTCTATAGTATATGTCCAAGTTTGGAGAGAAAGCACCATACAATCTTCTCTCTTTGTACAGATTGTTCTATAGTATTATTAGTAATATATACGTATTTGATATTGAATATGACATGAGACTTGAGAGTGTTATTATGAGTCTCCATGTTAGAAGTTGAGATTTTCAAGCTTGTCTCCTCATCAACATGATAGAATCATTTGACACCATTTATATGATTTCCCAACAATTCAGAATGCAATCAATGGTGCAAACTGCAATCCCAACATGTCCCCATAAGCTAGAATACACATTAAATCATATATTATTAATATCAATTTAACAATATGAATTTCGAGAAAAGCAAAGATAATATGTTTCAACATATCTTGATTCGCTTTTCGAATTTTATTGCAAATGACTCAAATCTCACCAACTTCTCACAAGATATACATGCAACAACAACCTAGTGAAATTCTGTAAGGTGTGAGGAGGGTAGATTGTATGTAAACCTTATCCTATGTTGTGGAGGTAAAGAATTTGTTCTTGGAGGACCATCAACTTGAGTATAAAATATCAAGGTAGGTATGGAAAAGAAAAAAATGACAGTGAAAAAAATAAAGTAACTAATAAAGAAACAATAACAATCACAAAATAATGTGATAACTTAATATAATAAGCTGTCACGCTTTGAGTCTACACCTTGGACGTGACCGACACTCGAGAACCATTGCTGGTCCCCAAGTGAATCCTTGGCCCGACTGACTACTTGGCGGAGGACATACTCAAGAGATAAAAGTCTTGAAAACAAATTTTTTGAACATTTAAACTCAAAGTAAAACCTTAACTCAAACTGTCTGTAAAATACTCAATAATGTAAGTATAATAGTTTGCAGAAACATCTCAAGGAAAAGTAAATTGAAAGACTCCTCAACTCTGTCTATTATGAAACCTCTATTACTCAAGATGGATGTCGGGACAAGCCTTACAACATCTCATGACAATTGACTAGAAAATAAATGTGAAGTCCTCGGAATGTAAGGAGGCTCACCCAAGCTCTCTAGAGTGCAAAGTGATCTCAACGAAAAGCTTGTTGATCATCCTGAACATATGTTTCTGCGTCATAATAAGATGCAGGTCGAATGACATCAGTACATTGAATGTACGAGTATGTAATATGACTGAATAAACAAATACCTGAAATAGATAAAACATAAACTCAACTGAATGTAAAGGATTACAGGAATGAAACCATTTAACTTTACAAAATACTTTCTCATTTCTGAACTTTAACATAATAAGTGATATATAAAAATATACATTAACTCTATTGGGAGATTTTCTAACCGACAACCATCACTATGAGCTAAGTGATGATACAACGTCTTGCTCTCGCTTCCAGAACTGTTCTATAGTGTGCCGGGATATAGAACACCTCAACTAAGTGGATCCGCTCTACCCGAAGGCACTAAGGATTCATCTAAAAAGTATGATTCTGTATCCATGTGGGCAAGACATGGTTTATGGGGGCTATGAGTTGTCTGAACTCTCCCCCATATCGGTGCTCAATACTACTCCTAATAATATGTACTGCTGCTCATATGTATAAAAACATTACTTTTTCTATGGTTTGAGATGATTGCTCAAACTATCCTCTTAAAAGAGGTAACTGCTCTGAACTGTCTCTAAAACTCATAGTTCATTTAAAAAATAAGGTTTCTTTTTGCTTAATGTAAAAATACATTCTGGTTGAGATAATTACTCAAAATGGGGCCTCTTTAAGAGGTAACTGCTCTGTACTTAATCTTTCTGAAAACACTTTTAACTTTTCTCAAAAAGTCTACTATTTTTCTTCCGGTAAAAATGAAACATTTGGGAAATATTTAGTTCCGCTATACTCTCTCTCAAACTGTTCTTTACTTTCTCAAAACTCAGTTTAAACAGTAATGTTTTGTTTTAGAGATCCTCAATAAGAATGCACTAAATACTCAAAATAAGGTTCATGCTAAAAAATAGTCATGAACAATCAACTCAATAATCACAATTCACATTGTATGACAATTCAATGATTTGGAATAGGAATTCAAAAACCAACAGTTCAAGAATTCAGAAACTCAATATTAACTCATCTCAAGAATACTGAAATCTAAGTATGGAATCCTGGACTACTTTTTTACTGATTTGAAAGTAGATATAGAGAGTGAGGACGAACTAGTCCATACACTATGATAGCCTTACATATCTGGGAAAAACAAAGTTCTTGGCAAAATAGATGAAATTTGAAGAACGCTTGAAAACCCTACCTTTTCTCCTTTTGAATCCTTGTTCTAAGTCTTTGAAGTGTTAAAGAACGTAAAATAATGTTTTAACATTATTTAGACTCGTAATTAAGTGGAAAAGGGTCGTGATTTAGGCTTAGAAGGGGTGGAAAAGACTGAACTACCCTTCTTTAAAAGCTGATAAAAACTGTCCATGGGACTATCTACGGTTCGTGGTTTTTCGTGGAATTGATATTGAATTATAAAGACTCAAAAGTCCATTTATGGGTCCAAATGATGGCCCATAGGTGGACTTATGGCCCGTCGGTTGTATCCATAGGATTTGGGTCCCAAAATTTGACTCCCAGTACTCTACCGACGACTTGACAGGATGGGTCATCGTTCAACCTACGACCCATCGGTTGGGGTCGTCGTTCTGACTCAGAAAATTATGATATGACAGTCTCTAGTAAAATGGTTATAACTTCTTACTCCGAACATGAAATGAGGCAAACTTGGTGGCATTGGAAAGAGGACTCAAAGAACTTTAATGTGGTAGGTCATAAGCCACATAATTCATTATGTGCTGAGAGATATGATCGTTTGAAGTTGACCTAAGTAGAATCTTATGTCAAAACTTAATCGGTAAGGAAGCTTTCTACTCAACTTTGTGCTAAGGGGTTCTTGTGACCTTAAGTCATATCCAAAAATCATTCCCACACTAAAGAATTGACCTTAAAAGCTAAGAAAAATTAAGAATATCTCGGTACGACCTTATACTCAAATGAAGAATGCTTCAAGTCTTAACTTAGAATTTTTCGGGATGCTACATAAAACATCAAATGAAAATGTAATCAAAAGCAAGACATCATAGGATTAATGTTAAGTTCCTCAAAAATCAAGACAACACTCTACACAGACTAATTTTGTACCCTAATATGCGACCTTCATACTCTCATATCTAAGGTCATGTACTCGGTAACATGAAGCTCTGCCTTGTCCTGACTAATCATCTCTCTCCAATATGTTTTCTGCCTACTTCTAGCTCTCATTGTACCTCTTATAACCAACTCTGCACACCTCATCACTAAAGCATCTGTGCATCCAAACCATCTCCGTATTGCTTTCCTCATCTAGTCACTACGGAGGCCACTCTTATCTTGTCCCAGGTATTTTTATTCTGAATCTTATCTACCTAATATGTCAACACATCCATCTGAGCATCCTCATTTTCGCAACTTGCATTTTCTAAAATGAAAGTTCTTGACTGACCATTACTCTACCCCATACAACAAAGTCGGTCTAACTACCACATTGTCGAAATTATTTTTAAGATTAGGTGGTATCTTTTTTTTATCATACAAGCCTCCATTTCATCCACGCCGCACCAATACGATGTGTGACATCATCGTCGATGTCCCCACTTTTCTGAATTACAGACCTAAACTATCTTTGTTGAGGATAACCTATGTGTCAAGCCTCTCTTCCACACTTGCCTCATGCATTGCATCTTAAATTTGTATTTCAAATATTTCATTTTGGTTTTACTCAATCTGAACTCTTTTGACTTCAGGATTTTGTCTCCACACCCTCCAACTAGCATTTACTTTATTGTGTCTCATCAATCAATACTATGTCACCTACAAACGACATACACCATGAGATCATGATCAGTTAGAGAAAGTTCACTCTTGATCTTCCGAGAGATCAATTCAGTTGTGTTAACACTTGAAGTCAGTCTTATCTCCTCACTCATGCAATTTATCAACTGACTATGGGAAAATTACGCGGATAAGCAAACATATACTAGTTAATTAGTTAACATAGCTACAGTTTGACTTAAGTACCTTCTGTCACTAATTTCTAGGCAAAATTACACGGTCGAGTTTCAAATGTATAAATGTGTCGACCGACTTTTAGCTGTATAGACGTGTAGTTTTCGGAATTTGTATTATATAATTTGCATAACTTTTTTATAATGTAACTTGTATAATATATGTAATCTATATAATATAATTTGTAACTGTTTAAAGTTCAGATGCTTGTATTTGTATAAATTTGTTATTTGGAGTTTTATCATAATTTGTATAATTTCAGAATTTGTATAATATAACAGTTGTATAATTCTGAATTAGCTCAATTATACAAATACACACAAATTATACAAATGATCTCACCCATAACAATTTATACTGTAGCTACAACCTGTAAATATGCAAACTATAACTAAGGAGCATAATTAATTATATTATGATAGCTATTTGCGAAATTTACTCCAACAAATATAATAGTTGTACAATTTCTAATATAGAAAGAAGAATACACAATATAATCGTGTAGAAATTTAGTGAGTTATAGTTTGTTATTTCTTTTCGTTTCTATTTGTTTGTCTTACTTTTCTTGTTCACTCGTTTAAAAAAAAAAGGGTAACTCTTTTACTTTTTGAGGACTCTTTAATTCTAATTTTCCATATGACATGTTTAAAACCGTGGAAAAATATATTGGTACAATATTCTACACATTTTTAATTAAAACAACTGATCAATTCAAATTTTTTCTTTACTTTCTTAAATTTCATATCAAAACAAAACCAGACTAATAATTAAAACATAGGGAGTAATCTATTACTCATGACCTTATTTAGATTTGTTTTGTTAATAGAAGAATCAATTGTTGTAGTAGTGTAGGGTTTTGTGCTTTGTCAAAAGCCTATGTAACATCACTTTATGAGGAAATATTGATTCATTGATGAATTCCCAATGGGAGGAGAGAAAAGTAGGATTTATGTGTACGTTATAGTCATTGCATGAAGGAAATGGG